GGTTCTAATTTTATCAACAAGGTGCTCCACTGATCAGCTTCTGGGGTCCCTTGTCATACATTGGTCCTCGGCCCACTGGGCATTCCCGGTCAAACCTCGTGATGTATAAGTCGGGAGTATGTGTTATGCATCGTTCTTCAGCCCCCTCGGCGTTCCGGACATATCTCCTGATGCACATGTTATGCATCAGTCCTCAGCCCCCTGGGCATTCTGGACATACCTTGTGAGGCATAACCTTCCCAGTGTGATCCAGCTTTGTGCTCTTGTTTGATTTGAAAGGCTTAAGGGTTGGGCTCCTGTTCCTAACTGGCCAGGCCACTTTGACCTTGTTTAGGTGACAAAATGGCAGCTGAATAGGCTCCCTAGGAGTAGCAGACCCACATTTTAATAGTGTATTGCTTTATTGGGGGAGGGGTTGTAGGAGTAGGAGAGAGGGACACCATGGTTGGATGGGGGTGAAATCAAAAAAAGAATACAAGTTCAGGAAGTAATAATGTTAAAATAGTAATATACAAAACAGGTAACTGCAATCATTTTTCTTAAGAGGACTCAATTCATGGAAGAAAACCTTGAATTGTGGTTGCAAAAAACATCTGTAGAAGTAGAATCAATTTCTAAATTTTAAACCACTCTCTCAGATCAATCTTAAACATTTACCTTCAGAAGAGGCATCATCAGCTATGTCTTAAGAGTTGTGGGTCCCAGATCCCCAGGACTCCTCTTTCAGTTCCAATCACCGCAATACATCCCCTCTCTTCACTGTACCAAGGGCAGCTGCTTCCTGCAGTTATTATAATGCTTCCTTTTTTTTTGACTTTTCAATCCTCCATTACCTCTTTAACCAACTCCTTAAATTCTCTATAAAACAACTGCTGTGATAACTGTTTTTTTTTTTTTTTAACTACACCCTGATACTTCCCTAAGAGATTCAGAAATAGCTTCTGAAATACTTATGTAAATTTATGATGGGTATATGTTATTATGGTAATAAAGAATAAGTGGATTACATTCATTGGTAATATACATATTATACATCTGAGAAATGATATATTCTAAGTTTATTTATAAATCTATTGTTTGGATCTTGAAATTAATTTTCCTATCAAAACAATAATACATATTGCAATTATGCACTCAGATGCATCCATCAATGTCATAAAATTACTGAAGAATGGGCCTCCCTGGTGGCGCAGGTGGCTGAGCGCTGCACTGTGAAGCTGTCCGCAGCCTCTGCAGCGTGGGTTCGATCCCGGCCAGCCGGGGACAATCCCACATGGCGAAGCAGAACTCTCCTGTCTCACCCGCTGCTCCCCTTAGCAGTGTATTTCCTCAGTCTGCCTGTTCCGTTCCCCACTCTGCCTCTGGTGAATCCTCATACCCTCCCTTGCATCTGGCCTGTACCCTGGTTCCTGTATAAAAGTAAATAAATCTTTAAAAAATAAATAAAAATTAAATTAAATTACTGAAGAAAAATATCTTACAAATTGTGTTAGGGAACAGAATTAGAATTATTTTGGCCACATATATTCAAAGTTTCAACTACTATGCCAGTTTCATTCACTGTTTAATCATTTAACTTAAAAATATTGATATTATTTAAGTCAATATTTCTAAAGTATTATCTCAACACATAATCAATATTTACAAATAAATTTAAATGATATGCTTAAAATTATTTTTAATGGTAAATCTTCATAATTTATTTTTGTGCATTTCACACTTACCACACATTGCAAAGCAGTCTAGACCTTTTTATGGGGACAATAGCCACATGCAGCCAGTGATTACTACATTAGACAATACAACAGTTGAGGATATGCTGAAGACCAGTTGTAGCATCAGAAGATATACACATTGTCTTTTCTTTGATACATAAATATTTAATGATCTGAGCAGATATCTGTTGTCCCAGAACAAAAGAGAGTTGTTTGAAGCAAAACATAAGCATTTATTTGGGGTTTTATTAGGGCTGCAGCCTGGGAAACATAAATTCAAGAAGCTCTTGAATTGTGACCTGAGTTGGAGTAGTACTAGATCAGGTAGGACTTATATCCATATAGAAAAGGCAGGACAGTTTGTTGCTCTGGTCAGATAGGTAAGTTAGGGTTAGAGTTTATAATCAAATTGCTATGGATGACCCATTATGCTAATTAGGTTAAACATCAGTCAGGTCTGATTCTGGAATCACATGCCAGTCAGGTGAATTTAGTTGAGCCACTACTGGTTAAGTTTCAATCCTGGGTGTCGAGTTATGATAAAGGTGTCTCTCACTACATTAATGAGGTGAATGAATTTTTGGGAATCACTAAAGGACCTGGCTGGCTCTCCAAAGGAGGAATCATATGAGTAATTCCAACCCCAGAATTCCAGGGAGAAAAGAGGGAGAAGGTCCATTTACCCCCTGGTGGTGGGAGGTGGAGCTGGCAGGGTAAAGCACAGGTCTACCACTGTGGCAGTCAGGGGTTTCCCCCACTCTGGCTTGGTGGGCAGGGGGCAAAGACCTGCCACCCAGTGGGGCAGCTATCTTCCACAGCAGTTCCTATGAAAAAGAGTGAGCCCATGTGCATGATTTCTGTTTAGAGGCTCACATATGGCCACTCAGCTCCACCCTCTTCTTAGCACTCCCCTGGCACGGGACATTGAGGGCAGAGTTCAGAACTTATCACTGCACGGGCACTGTCCCCTCCAATTTGGTTGGGTCTGCAGAGTTTAGACCCCTTATCTGCACAAGGTGGAGCCAAAAGAATTTGGTGATTTAGTATTGTTTTCCTGAGTTCTGTAAGTTACTCCAGAAAATTAATCAAACCTGAAGAAGAAATCATGGAAATCTCTGATTTATAACTGGTTGATCAGAAGCACAGGCTTGCAGCTGGCACCTGAAATCCTAGGGGGATAGTGTGGGAGAGTGAGTCCTTAACTTGAGAATCTAATGCTACCTTCATGTAGTATCAGAAGTGAATTCTTGAGACACCCTACTGGCATGTGAGAATTGCTTGGGATGGGGGTGCCTCCATACATAGGTTGGCAAGGGTCCCTGAGCCCTATTAGCTGGCCTTCATTGAGCTGCTTCACCTAGAAACGCTGGTGAGAGGGCAGAGAAGAAAAAAGAGAGTCCTAAACAATCCTTCCAGCATTTAAAAGACTAGAAAAGGACAGGTCCTCACAAAAGGAACAGGTTAACTTGAAACCAGTGTGCTATATTGTGGTGTAGTCAACTAAAGTTTCACCTATGGTGCTTGTAATCCCTTTGTGGACAGATCTAAACAGATACCTCCTCTGGGAATCTAACCTTCTCAAGTCCAAAGTCCAGGAGAGTGAGCCTCAAAGACTCAATGGTTTCATCCAGTCAGACCAGCTCTGCCCTCCATTTTCACAGTGTCTCCCATAAGTAATGACCTTTGGCTAAAATGACACCAGACAAATGCCATTTATAAGGAAGCCCACCTATTCACAGGGTCTCAATTTTACCCTACAGCTCCAGTAGGACTCAGTGGAGGAAAGTATTGATTAGCACCTTCATATACATCAATACATGTATGTTGAATGAATAATACTAGATGATGAATACTGCTCTACTCTTTAGGACCTAAAAATCTAATAGAAGAAACAACACTCCTATTGTAGCAAAGAAGACTGTGTTAACTTTTATAATGTACACAAAGCTATGTGCTATAAGGATGGGAGAATGCAGCTTTCTACTTTGCGGGGCACAGTGCATTGTTCCACAATTTAATTTTATCTTAGTTTTCATGTAGAAATACACATAAATGTAATGAATTTTTAAATGACATATTTGGTAGCAAGGTTCATTGGGGAAAAAAAATCCTTACATGGGGGCTCCCTGGTGGTGCAGTAGGTTGAGTGCAGCGCTGTGAAGCTGTTCGCAGACTCTGCAGCGTGGGTTCGATCCCGGCCGGCCAGGGAGATTGCCACATGGTTTGGGAGACCTGTCTTGTCCGCTGCTCCCCTCAGCAGTGTATTTCCCTCGTCTGCATGTTCTGCTCCCTGCTCTGCTCCCTGCTCTGTCTCTGGTGAATCCTCTCGCCCTCCCATGCCTCTAGCCTGTACCCCAGCTCTTGTATAAAAATAAATAAATATTTAAAAAAAAAACACAAAAAACCCTTACATGGTCATCTCTAAACTTTACATGATATTGTTATCCTAAAAATAAAAAGCCGAAATAAGCAAGAGTGTTTATTTGATTAAGGAATTGCAATGTGGGGTACAGAGTTTCAGGTAGTGAAACTAAAATGTGCCCCAGAGAGTTAAAAAGTGGAGCTTTTATTGGAAGAAAAGAGGAAGATGAGGTAAGTAGAGAAAAGGGTTAATATAACGGGCTTAAATATTCTTAGCTGTACATAATTGGTTACTGCTACCATCCTACAGCAAAAGTCCAGCATCATCATCAGTTTTGGGGATCAGAAGATCAGGTCTCCTACGGGGTTCTCAAACCATGGTCTGGAAACACTTGCAGTCCCTCCAGAGGTCTTTTTGGAAGTATAAGTAGACAAGAAGCAATTTTTCCACTCTGACAACTCCTACTGTATTTTTAAATCACTCCACTTACACAGTTTTTCATAATATAAAGAAACTTATCATTAAGTTCTTTTTGTTATAAAATATATTTTCATTAAAAAAGTAAAATAAAATATATTTTCATTTTAAAAATCAAAAGAGACAGCACTTCTACCTTCCCAAGGAAGGGGCCTTAAATTGTCAAAAATACCTAACTCACGCATTCAGAGAACTGGGAAACTGCGAACTTCAGGAGAGATGAAGCACACGGAGCCAGGCACTCTGCCCCTTCCAAGGTAGTGCCCAGAGGGCGCCCCGACCTCGCCAATGGCCACGTGCCCCAGGCCCCACACCCGAGGTGGGTGCGGCCGGGATGCTCTGGGCGGGACCTCGAGGGGTGGGCCTAGGGGCGTGGCAGACGGGCGCGCGCGGGGGTGGGAGGACCCTGGATCCCCCGGGCTGTAGCCCCGCACACCCAGCCCAGCGCCGCTGCAAGTGCGCGCCCGGCGTGGAGCTCGGTCCCCGCGCGCTTAGTTACCCTCCGGAGCTCCCGGGACGGAAGCTCGCTCCAGGTAGCTGTTCTCGCGGTTCTCTAGCTCCGCCGCCCAGCGACGGGGGAGGGATGGGGAGGCTGGGTGTGAAGGTGGGGATCGCCTCTCTGTCCGGGTCCCCCTGCCTGGGATGGGCTCCGATGGGGAGAGGGCGCGCAGCCGGGCTGGAGGGAGCGGACGCGCAGGGAAGCCCGTCCTCGTGTGCGCCCGGATGGGGCGGTGAAGGGCGCGGTGAGCTCTTCTTCCTCGACCCTCCTTTTCCGTCCCATCAGTGGAACCCGGGGCCCCGATTTCGGGGCCGAGTGTCTCGTGGAAGACACTTGCTAGCTCCCTTCTCTCTGGTCCGCGCTCTGAGTAGGAGCTGAGAAATCCCAGGAGTCAGCTGCGGGCGTGGATAGCTTGGGAGCGAGCACTTAGTTTTGCCGTCTCGTAGGTTCCAGGGGCTTCATTTCTTTTAATCCTCACGATTGCCCTGCGAAGAGGCTTTATTACCTCAGCCTAATTGATAAAGAAGCGGACACCAGGGTGGTAAATGACTGGCCTTGGGGCGGACCTTTGGCAAAAGGGATTCTAGTCTGGGAGCTCCGGGCCACTCTCTTCCTGGTCCTTCCAGATCCTTCGCTTGCGAGTCTCGGAGACGCGCGCAGATGGATCTATTATGACAACCGGTGATTATTTTATTTTTTTAATTTTTACTTTTATATATCGGTGATTCGTTTAAAAGGCGTTCTACTCCCCGGTTAGGTTTCTTTGGGGTTTGTTTTGTTAGCGCCCCATTTCAGAGTTTGGCTGTTAGCTTTTTAAAGTGGGGAGAAGCTCTCACACAAATATTTTTTTTTTTCTCTTAACAGCGCTTTCTCTTCATGCAAAGCAAAACGCAGGCCCCGCTGCCTGCCACACACTTGTCATCTCTCACAGTGGATGTGGTCGCCTGGGGGTCCAGACCTTATGGGTTGCCTTATATGGGCTGCCCTGGTACAGGTAAGCTTTGTAGTCACCTGACATCCCGGGTGGGGACCCTTTGCTTTGTTCTGGAAGGAACAGTCTTCATTTGACAAGTAAGAGGTGACTTAGGAAAAGTGTGATGGTGTTAGTTGAAAGCAGTGGTGCCTTTTGAGGCCTGATTTTTGGTGAGTGATCGGTGAGGGACATGGTCAGAGAGTTGTTCCCTTCTCTGCTCCGCTTTCAGAGCTGTTCTGAAAAGCAGATTTGTTTAAAGGGGAAGAAGAGTGGTGAATGGTTTTCAAAGATCTCTATGAATTACCTGCTAGGAGCCTGGCAGTTCCAGACCCTCCCCCCAACCCCCTTATTAAGAATGAAAACTTGGATTCTGTGGCTATCTGCTATTGCTTAATGGTTTTTATTTTTGCTGATTTACAAGGAGCTAGTTTGGGGAAATTTTGAGTTCCTAGAAATGGTGACTATTCTGTTTTTAAAAATCAATATAACTTACCATGACTTTATGCTTAGAAAATTTCCTTGGTAGATGAAAGAAGTTGACGTTTATTTCATGGTGAGGATTTGAAAGGTGTCTGCCACCTCTTCTGCCCTTCCTGACTCCCTCCCACCCCACCATCTTTAGTTCTGTCCCATATAGTGCACTACATTCCATCTTTCATTAATTACGATTTGTCCTTGATAAGTTATAAAACTACTTCATTTTACAAGTTGCTTCTATTCTGTTTGTAATTTTCATTACCTGAAACAGAAAAATGTTTTCCCTGAGAACTATGGGCTAACTACAGGAGCAGAACAAGTAAAGCACATGTGAGCTAGGTCCTGGTTGAATTGTAGAGGACTTGCTAAAACCAGGTGACTGTGGCTACTTTTCCCCTATAACCATGCGGGAATTCTGATCTAATTATCCAGAGCTGAGTTTTTTTATATCCCCCAAATAACTGAGAAATCTTTCTTAAAAAAAAAAAGTAAAACTTGGTTTTAAATATTGGTCCTGTTTAAAAAAAACAAAATTTGATTTAAGCATTGTGCATTTCCAAATCTCTGCCTTAGAGATTGCTGAACATGGTGATTGCATGATCAGGCGAATGAAAATGTCTGATCTATGATGTAGCTGTTGTACATTTTTCATGAAATGAGGTGGTAAGAAACAGAAAGTAAAACTATTGAAAATGTTTCTCTCTGTATAATTCAGGTTGTTTCTCCTGGGACCATCTGTACTCTGCATTGACTCTGACGTGGTATACATGGCTTCGGGCAATTTCTTTCTTACCTATCTGTGACAAATGCCATGTTAGACCATAGTCTCCCAACTTTGGCACTGCTGACATTTTTGGCCAGATAGGCTCTTGTGAAGATTGTCTTGTGTAAGACCTGGAGCTCCCTCCCTGCCCTCTCTTCACCAGATGTTAGGTGTCCTCTCCCCCCAGTAAAACAGCCTAACTGTCTCTAGACACTGCCAGGTCTCATCTGAAGGACAAAGTCACCCAGATGAGGGAAAAAATGAGTCAGTATTTAAAAGTTGTTTATGAGCTAACCTATAAACCCAGTTAACTTTAGACTTCTAGAGAAAGGGGGCGTCCCTGGTGGCCTACGAGTTAAGTCTCAGTGCTACCACTATGAGGGCCCACCGAGACTGCCTGAGTTTGATCCCTGGCCAGAGAGCTAACCCACATGGCGCAGCAAACCTCTCCTGTCTCTCCCGCTGCTCCCCTCAGCAGTGTATTTGCAGTAGACCTGCCTGTTCTCTCCCCACTGTGTCACTGCTGAATCCTCTCACCCCTCTGCACCTTTTGCCTGCACCCCAGCTCTTCTAAGCAAAAATAAATAAAATCTTAAGAAAAATAAACTTCTAGAGAAGGTATTTGTAAAGTTTAACAAACATCTGCCATTTTAAAACATTATATCATAAAGATGCCCTATGTGAACAGCCAAGTGCATCCAGCTAAGTTTTGTCTTCAGAGAAACTTCATGAGTTGGATGCAGTTGTTAAATTTCATGAAGTTTAGAACATTGGAAACTAATAAGGAATTCTACAGTAGTTTTAAATTTCTCTTTTTTGTATACTTGATGTCTCAGTTTTAAAAAGTTGATCCAGTGTTAATTGGACAGACTTAATAAAATGGGCATAATCCCTAATATTAGCAACCAAAGCAAAAAAATTTTAATTGAAATAAAATTGCTGTATCACACCAGATACATTTTAGGTATGCATATTTGAAAATCAACATGTGTATATACAACACTAAGCTCACTACCAAGTGAAAATTTTAAACCTGAGCTTCATTCAGTGTGAATAAATCATTTTCAGAGTAGAATTTAATTCTAGGAAAAATGAAAAATGAAAATGCTTTACAGCAGTAAAGCAACCATGTATTTCTGAGGTCTGAGAAACCAGAGAACCCTACATGATATATATAAGTCATATCAAAAGAACTGTCTTGAAAATTGAAACCTCTCTTTTAGGCCTCATCTAATTCAGTGACTTTGAAACAACCCTGGTTATCTAAGATGCATCCTTTGCTAAAGCTGGCTATCCATTAGGGACCGCGCAGAAACCAGCAAATTATATAGTAAGACTCAGATTGGCCCCTTGTTCAAAAAATTGCCAAGACAGCAATAGATGGAAGAACTTAGGCCATAGGTTTTAGGCTTTCTGTGCCTACACTGGTTCCATCCCCATGAAGTTCACCCTGGTAAAAACTCTAAAGCTCAAAGGCCTTCCTGGTGGCACAGGGGCTAAGTATTAGTGCTATCAAGCTATCACCAGCTGTTGCGGCATGAGTTCTATCCCAGGCCAGGGAGCTAACCCACATGGTGCAGCAGACTTCTCCTGTCTCATCTGCTGCTCCCCTCAGCAGTGTATTTCAGTAGATCTGCCTGTTCTGCTCCCTACTCTGTCTCTGGTAAACCCTCTCCCCCCCACCTCCTCTGGCCTACACCCCAGTTCTCGTATGCATAAATAAATATAAAATAAATCTTTAAACAAAAAGACACAACTCTATAACTCAAAAGAGGGTTGTGGTCACAAATGCAAATCCCACAAAGGAAATGGTACTGCTACTGCTGACATAAAACACCTTGAGATTGTGATTCATTGATCTTTCAATCAGGAGCCTGCATGTATTTGGTAATCAGTGAACTAAAGTTACTAAGGAATTAGTTATTTTGTTGTTGTTGTTAAAGAAGTAAGCAACTTGTTTGTGAGAGTCCTGAGCACCTCTTAGGGGCCAGGCGTTGTCTGGGCTGGGCTGCAGCTGTGTGCAGGCCAAGGTGGCCGGCCTGCCTGTATGAGACATCCAATCTTGTGGCTAGAAAAGGGGGGCAGACAAGCCTAGTCCCACAGACTATCAGAGTCAGGTGTCACTTTAGAACAGCATACAGATTTTGAGGGGGGAACCTAATGTAGTTTAGGGGAAGGGGATGCTCACTGTAGTAAGTCTCTCTAAAAGGTAATATTTAAAGTCACTGCTGAAAAAGGAGTAGGACTGTCAGGTGGATTGGGAACACAACCTCTGGGCTGAAAGGTTTGAGACCAAGGTGGAAAGATGGCTTGGGAGGAAGCTGTTGGGTAATTTCCAGGACTTAGGACTTTAAGGACTGTGAGTTGGAACCCGTTGATTAGTCAATAGAAAATGAGATGATTAGATTTACAGTTTTTTTTTTTTAAATGGTCTCTGCTGGTGTGTGGAGCAAGGCTTGGAGGGATAGATCCTGTTGGCATCTAGTGCTCTTGGGACACAAAGGAAATTATCCTGTACTCTACTGACAAATAATCAAGCGAGCCAGGGAGCACCAGACAGATCAATAATTGTGTACTTGAGACTAAGAACCTAGTCCAAGACTCCATTTAAATAGCTAAAACAAGGGACTTTGGGGAGAAAAGGGAAGTTCTGGTAAGAAGTTTATTATTGTGTAAATGCATGCAGATTTAGGTTCTGCCTTCTTTGAGAGAGGAGATTAGGTCTTCCTGTGAGAGTAAGGGAGAAAGTTTCTCCTTCACAAGCCCAGCCTTCCATCCCTCCCCTGAAACAGACCTGCTAAAAAGACATGTTTGGGGTGACACATTTGTGCTCCCTTACAGGGACCTTTGTGAAAACCAGAAAAAGTCTTCCTTTCTGGGTGGACCAGTTAAGAGAGATGCATTGTTTTGTCCCATCTAGGTCAGACCAAAGGACTGCAGCTCCTCAGCCTGGCCTAGCCCAGGCACACTCTTTGCAAACTTAATGGCCCCTCCTTGGGGAAGGGGAGGGTGTGTGCACACAGATTGAAAACACTTTGTGGTAATCCAGGGATGGTGCTGTGCTGCCTAATAGAATTCAGTGGCAGAGAGGGAGGGAGATTGAGAGAATTTGTAGTTATAATCAGTAAAAAAGTGATTTTTTGAATATAGTTGATTGAGCGGGGAGATATCAAGAATAATTCAAAAATTTCTGACAAATAACTGAGTGGGCTAGGATGGGAAACCATTTATGGTGTTAGGGAACACTGGAGGAAGAGTGCTATAGGAGAGGGCCTCCCCGGTGGCGCAGCGGCTGAGAGCTGGGTTGCGAAGCTGCCCGCAGCCTCTGCAGTGCCGGTTCGATCCCCGGCTGCTCCCCAGCCACTGGAGGAGGGTCCCACATGGCGCGCAGACCTCTCCTGCCGCCCGCTGCTCCCCTCAGCTGTGTACTTCGGTCCTTCTGCCTGCTCTGCTCCCCTAGTGCTTCTGACTATCCAGTGCTTGCATAAATAAATAAATAAATCTTTTAAAAAAAAAAAAATGAGTGCTATAGGACAGCAAATGTCTGCCACCCCAACATGTGCTGGCATGAAATGGGGAGGAAGAGATAATTCCATTTGCATATGTTGGTTTATGAGACATGGGGTAGAGTTAAGGAGTAGGTTGCTGGAATTCATGTATGAGAGCTAGGATGGAAATAGATGTTTGGGAACTGCTGTTGCTTATGAAAGAAAGATCATCAAGTGCCCAACTAGCTTGGTCAGTAGAGCTTAAGCCTCTTAAAGAAGATTGTCCAAAGGGA